AACAAAGTTTTAACTATAGAAAATAAATAAACCCCAGATACCTGCTTTCAGCCAGCCATGGCCACGGAGCTGGAGCAAGCAGGAGGCTTGGGTTGCCCCTGGAGATGGAGGAAGCCAAGCTTCCCTCCCGCCCTGGCCAGCTCTGAGCTCCACTCAAGGCTACAAAGTTTCAATTATAGAAGGTAAATAAATCTCAGAATAAAAAAAGAAAAAAAGGAGAGGCTGGGAGCTTCAGTCACAGGGGGGCTTGGCCAGCCTGAAAACGGCCCTCAGCCCCTCACCCAGACTGGCCAGGCACCCCAGTGGGGACCCCCACCCTAAAGGGGATATGGCCAGCCTGAAAACAGCCATCAGCCCCTCACCCAGACTGGCCAACCTCCATGGGGTGAGGGTCCCCACTGGGGGGTGCTTGACCAACCTGCAAACAGCCATCAGCCCCTCACCCAGGCTGGCCAGGCACCCCAGCGGGACTCCAACCCTGATCCAGGACACCCGTCGGGGAAAACCAGCCTGCTCCCACCTGTGCACCAGGCCTCTATCCTATATAATAAAAGGGTAATATGCAAACTGACCCTAACAGCAGAAAGACTGGGAATGACTGGTCACTATGACACACACTGACCACCAGGGGGCAGACGTTCAATGCAGGAGCTGTCCCCTGGTGGTCAGTGTGCTCCCACAGGGGGAGCTCTACTCAGACACAAGCCAGGCTGATGGCTGCCAGCACAGCAGTGGTGGCGGGAGCCTCTCCCGCCTCCTCAGCAGCACTAAGGATATCCAAACTGCAGCTTAGGTCTGCTCCCTGCTGGTAAGTGGACATCCCCTGAGGGCTGCGGGGCTGCCAGAGGGATGTCTGACTGCCAGCCTGGGCCCAATCCCCCAGGGAGCAGGCCTAAGCCAGCAGGTGGACATCCTCCGAGGGGTCCCAGCTGCAAGAGGGCATAGGCCGGGCAGAAGGACCACCCCCACCCCCCGAGTGCACAAATTTTTGTGCACCGGGCCTCTAGTTATCTATAATAATAAAAGCATAATATGCTAATTAGACTGGACATCCTTTCTGACAAAGCCAAGGCTACAGGGAAGCCCGGGTCCTGGGTGCCTGCCATTGGCTGGAGGGAAGCCCGGGTCCCTGGGTGCCAGAAGGAAGCTGGTGCCAGTAGCTGTGGAAAGGAGGGCCTACTCTTGCACGAAATTCATGCATTGGGCCTCTAGTAGTTAATAATCCTGTATTATGTACTTGAAAGTTGCTAAGAAAATAGATCTTAAATGTTCTCACCACAGAAAACATATAGTAAATATGGGACCTGATACAGGTGTTAGCAAATGCTAAGGTGGTGATTATTTTTTCTAATATATAAATGTGTCAAATCAACATGTCAAATACTTTAAACTTACACAATGTTACATGTCAATTATATCTCAATAAAGCTGGGGGAAAACTAGGTGGAGTTAGTGGGAGTTGGATTCTTCATTAGAGATAAGAAGCTGGCAAGAATGGATGAAAATCAGATCCCAGCCCCTTAGCTTCACATTAAGTGAAAGCCCTCACTATATATGGGAAAAGTCAACTCAGAGAGTGTGAGTGAGTTAGGCATGGTCACATCTTTGTTAATGACCTAACCAGGTCAGGCCCCCTATCAGCATAATCCTCCCCACCTCCCTCCCTCCACACAGTGACTGGCTATTTTCCTCACCTTTCTCATGACCTTCTGGTGGGAGAGACCTACAGAGATGGCTAGAGTAAGCCCTAAAGGAAAGTGTTCATCTCCCTGTTCTCCCATTTTTAATAGTGAAAAGGCCTTCCTTTCCTTTGAGGACCAGGAGACTTTGCAGGTGATTCCTGGCACCAGGACCACCTTGGTGGCACTCTCCCAGGGAAGGAGGCTCTCAAAAGGCCATTTTATAGGAAAATATTAAAGACAAAAGGAGTTAAGATTAGTGATCAAGGCTAGAAGTGAAAACAGGCCTCACAAACCTAAAATGCTCTTCTCCCCTGAGGGGACAAGTGCTGGTGTCACAGGGACCTTCTGAGAACATCACCACAGTCCAAGGCTGTGTTTCCCAGTGGAAATTTCCCATCCCACTGCCTCACTGGTGAATGTTCCCGTCTCTTTAAGTTGTCACCCCTAGGCGTCCTCTCCCTTAACTTCCTGACTCTGAGGTCTGAGATGCAGGACACTTCCCCATGTCCTGGGAGGAAGAGCCTGCTGCATTCACAACCGGAGAACAGCAATAGGTCAGGGCCTTCTGGGCCAGACTCAGAGCCTGTCACTGATTCTGTAGGAAAGGTGAGGGCCAGCAGGGGAAGGGAGCCAGCCGCAAAGTAGGAGCTGTGAAGAGTGGAAAGAATTCAGTGCCTGCGAGAAGCTCACTGAGTGAACACTCCATTCTAGTAGGTACCAGGAAGGGGAGCAGGATCTAGAAGGAGTAACTCCACACTCCCGGGTGCATCAGGATGCCTGAGTTTCACACACAGCAGCTTCAGGATCAGTGGTAAGCATCTCCTCCAGCCTAGATGCCCAGGCTCTTGCTTGGGCTAAGCCCTCTCCTAACCTACTCCCCTAACAAGGAAGGAAGGGGTCTGCTCACTCTCCTGCAGGGACCAAAACACACTTTAGAAGGCAGCAAAGACTCCCCACCTGCATATCCGGCAAGGCAAAGAGATTTCTGAGGACATATAAGTGAGTCTAAACTCAGAACACGTTAAAGTGAAAATCCTGTGTGTATCTGGGCTGAACCGCCTGAAATACTCCACTCTCTCCAAGTGTCCAGAAAGCAACTTGCCAGAGACGGCAAAGGTCATGACCATAGTACTCAAACACTTGCCCTACCTGTGCTTTTAAACACCTGCTCCCCAATAGAAGCTGCCCAGGACTGTGTTGGTGGCTGTGCATTCTGAGCTTCCTCCCTTCCTCTGCATGACAAAGGGGTTGGTCTAGGACAGTGATGGCGAACCTATGACACGTGTGTCAGAGGTGACATGCGAACTCATTTTTTTGGTTGATTTTTCTTTGTTAAATGGCATTTAAATATATAAAATAAATATCAAAAATATAAATCTTTGTTTTACTATGGTATCAAATATCAAAAAATTTCTATATGTGACACGGCACCAGAGTTAAGTTAGGGTTTTTCAAAATGCTGACACGCCGAGGTCAAAAGGTTCGCCATCACTGGTCTAGGAAATCTGATCCAGACACTGATCAGGAACTGAGTGCATCACAATCATTGGCCAGGGTGTGGGGATGCTTATATTCTGAAAGTACAGGTATGTGAACCAAAATCTCTGAGAAATGCCACATTTTACCGAATCTCGAATCCCCTAGATAATTCCCAGAGACAGGAGGTTCAGCAAGTCCGGGACTAGGTGAATAGACTCAGTCCCTTGGAGGTGTAGCATATAAGATCCCACATGTTTCCTTTCCTCTATGACAGTGTGTGTTTGTAACCCCAGATTTCAGCTCTCTGGGCCTGTCCAGGAACTTTCTAAATCCCAGCTTACCAGCTCAGTACTGTCAGTTCCCGGACCCTTCTCATCTCCACCTTTGGCCAGGACTCCTTGCATTAGCACAATTCCTGGCCTTTGCATCTGTGGCTCTTTCTCCATTTCTGCTCTTGTGTCAGTCATGGGAGTGTATTGATTTCCATGGGGGTGAACATTATGAAGGCTTTGGGGTGGGGGGAGTTCCTGCAGAAATATGAACGCCTTTGGATTGAGGACCAGGCCAGCCCATCATCTAAGTCCTTTGGCCAGAGACAAAGTAGTTAGCCTTCCTCTCCTTTGGCATTTCCTTGTGCAGTGCCGACTGGAGAGAACAGTCACCTGTGGTGACCGGGTGGACAATGTGAAGAGGTGGAAATAGAAATGGAAGCTGAAGCACAGAGAGGACTCAGTGTGTGTGGGAGGCTGAGACAGTTACAGGCCTGAGGGCACATGGCAGCTGAGAAAGGCCCGACATCTGCTCCTTGGGAGCATGTGAGTGAGGGGCTTTGTTGTCCTGAGGCTGGAGAGGCAGACTGAGGACAGACTGCACTGTGCACAGGGACTCGGTGAGCACAGAATGTTTGATTGTGTTAAATACTGACTGATAGGCTGGAGCCACTTTACTTGGAGAAGCCTCAGCTTTGGGGCAGGATGTCAGGAGTTGGAGGGGAGTGTCCCAGTCTCTCCAGGACACTGAACATATTTAAATACATTGAGACAGGACAGTGATTTGACTCCTGAGAGCAGAGTCAGAGGCTGCAGCTCACCTGGGACATAGGGTTCTTCTCCACCTTTCCAAAA